AGGCACTCTTCGAGCGCGCCGCCGCACGAGGCGTCTTCGACCCGTGGCTGCAGTCCGCAGGCGGCGGCGGTGGCAGCGGCGAGGGTGAGAATGGCGGCAACGGCGGCGGCGGTAGCAGCGGCGGGCGGCCTCTCCTGCGCGTGGCGTCGCTCGGGGGAGGGCCCGGGTACGAGCTGCTCGCCTTGGCTTGGTACTTGGAGCAGCTCGCAGGGGAGCGAGGCGTGGCGCCGCCGAGGCTTGACTTGGTCTCCCTCGACCTGCAGCCGTCGTGGGAGCCGTACCTGCTCGCGCTGCCAGAGCCGGCCGAGGCGGAGGCGGGTGGCGGCGGCACCACGTACCGCTTCGCGCAGTGGGATATCAAGGCGGGCGTCGACGCGCGCGACGCGGCGGGCGGCCCGCTCGACCTCTGCCTCGTCTCGAACGTGCTCGTCTACTGTTCCGACGAGCCGTCCGCCGCCGTGCTCGCCGCGCTGCTGGAGAGCGGCGTCAAGGCGATCCTCCTCAATGAACGCGGCGGCGAGCAAAAGATGGTCGGCATGGTCGAGCGGCACGGCGTCGTCGTCGCCAAGCTGCTCGACCAGGACTCCGCTGCCGGCCGGGACGACAGGCAGCTCGTCTTTGCGCCTGCCGGCACTTCGCTGCCGAGCCCGAGCGGAGCGCTGGCGCATGTGTTTCCCAACGTGCCGTATGAGGAGTCAAAGCAGAGGTAGTAGCCACCACACGTTGGGGGGAGCAGGGGGTTGACATCCGTGATTTTCACGCAAAATCCACAAAAATTACGACTCACATGTGAGATGTGAAAATTTCCGGCGTGAAGAGAAGGAAATAAATAAATGAAAACGGACACCTCTACTGTGAGATGGGTAAAAAGGAACAGGTCCCCGCCCGTCGGCGTGCGATCTTTTGTGCAGGGTTCTTTGTGGGTGTGGTCGGCGGCGACTAGCCGGGGTCGTCCTCCCGGATGGGGGACTAGCACTAGCCGTCTTCCACATGGTCCCTCGGGTCCCTGCTGCTCCTAATCTCTTCGTACATCCTCCTGCTGATCTCCGCAACGTCCTGCTCCCTCCCCCGTCTCGCCCTGCGCGTCTGCTCCACCTCTCCCCCGTCGTCTGCCCTGCGACGTCGTCTGGCGGCGGGTCCTCCATAGTCGGTTGAGGTCGCCGCCCTCCTCGTGCCTCTTCCCAACGTTCCCTCGGCGGCCGATGCCGTCTGCCTCCGACTCCGCCGTCCCCGGGTCTGCCCTGCTCTCGTCTGCGCTAGTTTCTGTTTCGTCATCACCGGCGCACTTGTAGCACTTGGTCTTGGAGTGCAGTCATTAACCTCACATCCAGGGCCGGGGAGCTAAGAAGCGCACCCAGCGGGCCGGATGATCGATATCGGGTTGCGGGCAAGAGAGCCCTAGCCCTGGGGGGTGCGCGGTCGCAGGGCCATAACACGGGTCTCCGAGGGTTGGCTCCGTGTACCGGGGGTTTCCCCTCAACTGCAGAACACACCCTTTACTCGTAGCTAAAGAATCCTCTCTGGGTGTTTGTCTGTGCTTTGTGTTTCCCCTAGCTGCGGAGCGCCCCCTCTACTCGGAGCTAGTGGACACGACACTAGCTAGTGATACGAGAATACGTACCGCCCCCACGCAACTACTCGACGATAATACGAGAATACGCAGCAGCGAGACGCCTATAAAGAAACAGCGAGGTAAAGTTCGGCGGCTCTGATTACCGAAAGTTGTCGTAAAACGCGGGCGAAAGCAAAGCCGCATGGGGTTGACCGACAGCCGCGCCGCTCGAGCCTCCCGTGCCACGCGCGGCGACACGCACACCGCGCGCCAGTCAGCGCACTGGTAGTACTGCACCAGCCAGCACGGCGTGGAGTGCAATGTATTGAGGGCACTGTACTGGGCGCCAGCCAGCATGCCTCAGCACAGAGCGAGAGAGCATGCTGCGCACCCTGACGCAGCGTCAGCTCGCCTCCAATCAGGCTCTCTCACCGCCGCACAGCGGTCCACGAGCACCTGCGGCTGTGCTGCTCAACGCTCAAGCTCTGGGGCCTCCCCTCATTGTCGCAGCTTTGCGCAGTGCAGCGTGCGAGCAGCGCAGCGCCGGGCCGACCCCTGGCACGCCCAGGCGGACGTGAGACGGAGGCCCGCGCCGAGCGAGTGCGAGCTGCATCGGCGGCCATGTCTCCCGCAGCCGCGAGCGAGCAGCTCAAAGAGGCAGCATCGCGCATGCTTTTCGGAAACGTTCTCTATTGATTCTGCGTCTGTCCTCTTCTTTCTCCCCTTCTTGTATGCTTTGCACATCGCGTCGATTCCTTTTCGCGTGAGCACCAGCCTGAAGCCCGCCCAGCAGCTGAACCGCTCCCTAAGTCGAAGGAGCATCATCAGTCTCACCCACTTCGCTCGCTGCCCACCGTCTCCGCTCCCTCCCGCTTGAGCCGCGTCGATTCCTTTTCGCGTGAGCACCAGCCTGAAGCCCGCCCGGCAGCTGAACCGCTCCCTTAAGTCGAAGGAGCATCGTCAGTCTCACCCACTTCACTCGCTGCCCACCGTCTCCGCTCCCTCCCGCTTGAGCCGCCGTCGCGGCCCTCGTTCGTCCCACTGGCTGTTGGCCCGCCCCTGCGTTGCCTCCGTTATCCCTCCTCCTCCGCGACTCCCTCCGTCGGCCGGCGTGCACAGCACTCCTAGCTGGCTCCCCGCTCGTAGGATTCTATCCGCCTCGTGTATGTCGTCTCGCGGCGCATCACCCTTCCTCTCTCCGAGTCGGGTCGGGCCCTTCTCCTGGGGGTCATGAACACGTCTCCGCCACCTGCCCCTTCGCCCTCTTCCAATTGATGCGTCGCGGTGCCACGCCCGTACCGTCTCCTCCCCCCGCCTCCTCCTTCCCTAGTCTCCGCCTCGCGTGTCCTCCCAGGTCACCTTGTTATCCTCGGGAATCTCCTCCTCCCACGCCTTACTCACTTCCAGCCGGGCGTCCCCTGTACCTTCTTGCCATCCTCCTCTCCCACTTCTCCCGTTGCCGTCTTGTCCTTACTCCCGAGATAGTGATAGAGTGTGCGCCGCTGCCAGTCCGCCTCTCTAGTCACTAGTGCGACCCGCCCCTCCTCAAAAGTGTGTTCGGCGAGGTTGGGACCTCCCATGCACACCTCCTTCGCCGCTGTGCTGTACCCCAGGAACGCCTCTAGTACTACTTCCCATCCGTCTTTCCTGGCTCCGTCACACGTGGCCAAGGCGTCCCCGGCTTTCTTTTTCCCCAGGAAAGTAGCCCCCAGGTGTGTATTGTTTTTGCGTGGGGCGGACCTCCATGACGGGGTAGGTAGGGTAGGTCGCTGCACTGCGCAAAGCTGCGACAATGAGGGGAGGCCCCAGAGCTTGAGCGTTGAGCAGCGCAACTGCGGGTGCTCGTGGACGGCTGTGAGGTGGTGCGAGAGCCTGATTGGAGGCGAACTGATGCTGCGTCAGCGTGCGCAGCATGCTCTCTCGCTCTGTGCTGAGGCATGCTGGCTGGCGCCCAGTACAATGCCCTCAATGCATTGCTCCACGCCGTGCTGGCTGGTGCAGTACTACCAGTGCGCTGACTGGCGCGCGGGGTGCGCGTCGCCGCGCGTGGCACGGGAGGCTCGAGAGGCGCGGCTGTCGGTCAACCCCGCGGCGCATGGGCGCCGCGGAAGCTGCTCGACAGACTGCGGGCATCGCTGCGGCAAAAGAGCCCGTCCTATGCTTTGCTTTCGCCCGCGTTTTACGACAACTTTCGGTTTTTATCTAGCCGCCGAACTTTGGCTCGCTGTTTCTTTATACTGTAGGTGTCTCGAAGCTGCGTATTCTCGTATTGTCTTCGAGTATTTCGTCGGGGCGGTGCGTATTCCCGTATCACTAGCTCCGAGTAGAGGGGGTGCGATCTGCCGCTAGGGGGGCCCAAGGAAGCGCGAGGGAAAAATTCCGCCGCTGGGGGAAACCTGGAGCGCAGAGCCAACCCTCGGAGGAGACCCGGGGTATGGCCCTGCGACCGCGCACCCCCCAGGGCTAGGGCTCTCTAGCCCGTAACCCGATGCCGAGCGTCTGGCTAACTGGGGCGCTTCTTAGCTCCCCGGTCCTGGGCGTGAGGTTGATGACCGCACTCCAAGTGCTCCAAGATCACGATGATCGATGTCAACCCTCCCAAGTGCCAAGTCGCTGAGGGAGGGTGTAGAGAGGATGTATTAGAGTGTAGAGCGCTGTAGAGCTGTAGAGCTGTAGAGCTGTAGAGCTGTAGAGCTCTACATCCGCCGCGTGACGAACTGCGTGCGTTGTAGAGCGATGTAGAGGCGCTCTACAACGTGAAATCTCTGCATTCCTCTGCATCGCCCCTCCCACGCCTTTCCAGCGCTCGCTCACACAGACGTTTGCGCTACGGAACGCGCCATCCATGGTTTATATCTTTTCCCCGGAGGCTATGGTGCAAAATTATAACCACATGTACATGTACATGTCACCAGTGAGACCCAGACACAAACACACACGCTCGACGCCGTCAAGGGCGAACCATTTGTGACGTGTGTAAGCTCCCTCAAAGCCTCTTGCAGTAGTCGGTCTGCGTAACCTCAGCAGACGAAGACGCCCCCCCCTCCTTGTTGTCTCGCTCTTGCCGCTCTGTCGTGCTGATCCTCGCAGACATGTCAGCAGCAATCTCCGAAAACCTCGAACCAGCAGTCGTATTTTGCAAGTGGCTCTGCAACGTGTGCAGTGACATCACCGCCAGCTGGGCCAGCACACTATTACTCCGATCCGCAAAGGCGTCACGCACACTCTTCTCCGCAAAGTTGCCTTGGAAACCGGCATCGTACCACATCTGCTTCACGGATTCCAGCTGGGCACTCATATTCTCGGCGGCAACCAGGATCTCCCCCGCCTCATCAACATCCGAATTTGTACTCTGCTCTCCCGTCTTCCAGGTTGTGCATGTGATTCCCGATCGCAACCAGTGTGTAATGATAGCCCAGCATCGCTCGCGCATACAACACAGACATTTGTGCGTGGTTGCCGTCCTGATCCTCCTGCTGAGCCACATCAGTGAGCACATTGCGGACACAACTGCGCCGGTTCGCAGCCGCTGCATCCTGGAGCACCGGACCCTGGAGCCACACCCGTATAAACCTCGGTTCAACCTCGCGGTGCGAACATGTACATGTACATGTAGCATGTAGAAGCATGCGCGATTCTAGCTTGTCCCGCATGTCGTCGCACCATCCCATCTCCGTATACATCTTCGTCCACAATTGAACCGCGTTGCGAAGTCACCTCCTCCCTATGAGACATCGGCCTCGGCCCGAGAATCACCGTCACGCTTCTCGTCATTCTCCGACGCCTCGTCGTGGACGACGCAACCAAGCCTCCACCGACTACACCCACAGCTCCATCCTCGTCACCTCGCTCGCTACGCTCTCTCTCCACCAACGGCCTCAATGTACTGCTCAGATTCGAGTGCGACTGATCACGCTCGACCGCCTCGCTAGTCGCCGGCAGGACGACGACCGAATGCGGCGCCTCGCCAGCCTCTCCCGGCGGAGGCATCGCGTTTCGAGCCACAACGGACTGCGCGCTCCGCTTTTCGAACCACCAAAACTCGCTGCACCCAGGTCCAGGTGCAGGTGCAGGTGCAACAAGTTTGCGCCCGGCCCTCTAGCGCCGCGCGCTGGCCCCGGCTGCGTCCCCGCGTGGCCTGCCCGATGGCGTGGTGCCCGCCCTCCACCCACCTCCCCGCGCGGGGCCGCTCCGGGGCGACCCGGGCGCCCTCCGACCAAACTGCCACACTACTATCAACAACAAACTCTAGATCATAATAGCGGCGAACGAGGCACGGTCGCTCTCCGACATGAGGCGCGTTGCACTTGCCAGTGCTGCCCTGGCCTTCTGTCTGCCCGCCCAATGGGTGGCAGGTGCCTCTGCTGCTGTGGCATGCCTCACGGCTGCGACTGGCCGGCGCCTCGGCGCGTCAGCTCAGCTTGGCGCAGCGATCGTGGCCACAGCGCAACTCGCCTGGACTCAACGCTCAGCCAGGAAAAAAATAAAATATTCTTACCTTCAAGCCCCCCTCCGAGACTGGAGACACCCACACACCAGTAACAGACCGGTGGGACTGCCCCCCGCCCCCACTTGCCCTGACTGCACAGGATTGCGTGCCCCGAAGACGGCGACACATAGCGGGGGACACTGCGCAAGGAGGGGGTGCGAAGCCAAGGTTGGGGTTCTAGGTGGTGGGACCATGAGGCATGAGGGGGGGGAGGGGGGGGTCCTCTGTGGGGGTGAAATGTTGCGCGGCGAATTCGAACCTACCCCCTCGCCGCGCCGATCCTCACGCGGAGGGTAAAACCCTGTGGGACAAAACCCCTCCGCGGTCGGCTGTCTTCAGAGTGGACCCCCCCCTCCCCAGCCTCCCCTGTTCGTTTTCGCACCCCCCCCCCGCTCCCCATCGGTGACTCGCGAAGGACACGGACACTCGGGGTGGGGGGGGAGGGGTCCCCCAGAGAGGGGGCTTTGGGGCCTTGTTGAGTCAATCTCCCCCCCAGAGAGGGGATGAGGGGCCTCGTTGGGTCGATCTCTGGTCGATCTCGTGTCGATCTCGGGTCAATCTCGGGTCCATCTCGGGTCCATCTCGGTTCAATCCCGGGTCAATCTCGGGTCGATCTCGGGTCACGTCGTGCGGTGTCATGAGGCGAGATGAGGTGAGATGAGGCGAGATGAGGCGAGATGAGGCGAGATGAGGCGAGGCGAGGCGAGATTAGACGAGATGGGGCGAGATTAGGCGAGATGGAGCGGGATATTGCGAGGTGCAGCCAGCTCCTGCCTGGATGGAGTCAGGATAATGCCTGGGAAGATTCTGATTGGTGCCTGAAGGGGGCTAGGTATGCCTGGAAGGAGCCAGGTTGATGCCTTGATGCCTTGAGGGAGTCG